CTCATTCTTGAGAGACTTGGACGGATTGAAGCAAAGCTCGATGATCACATTCGCGAGTGTCAGATGGCAGCACCTATAGGTACTCGAGGGACAAGAGGAGATCCATCTACTGCTGGCACATCCTCCGGACAACAACCCACTGATCCCTTTTCAAATCCGGAAGCATAAATCCTCCCGTTGCAGTTGTTGATGGCTGTTAAATTATCATTTTAATGTTTGAACACTCTTTTGAAGGTTTTCTTAATGTATTGACTTTTTATATTTTTGAATATGTACATATAATGTTGACATTAGATGCAGTTTAATTGAATGCCGATTTTAACATCAATGAACATAGCATAATTGTGATGATTTGTATTAGTTGATTATGTTCTTGATGTGCTTCCATTGATGGCAAGCAAGTTGGTAGTCCATAGTGTGCTTGAATGGCAATTTGTGGATGTGGTTTTAAAGTTTGATATGCATGTGGTTTTAATGATTCAATAGTATTTTTTACATAGTTGATGTTGATGAAACAAAAAGGAAACGCAAACAGCAAATTCTGGGAAATTAAACAGCAGAAATCGACTGAAGAGTCGAATATAGGCCTATATTCGACTCTTTACGCATATGAGAGTCGACTATCAAGCAGCAAGAGTCGACTCCAATTTTCCAGTAGGCTGGAATTTAATTTGCTGCAGCCTATAGTCGACTCTCCATAATAGAGTCGACTCTTTTCTGTTCAGAGTCGACTTTGTGATATGAAGAGTCGACTACCACATTCCAGTAGGCTGGAATTTAATTTGCTGCAGCCTATAGTCGACTCTCCATAATAGAGTCGACTCTTGGAGGATTCAGAGTCAATTTTGTGATATGAAGAGTCGACTACCAAATTCCAATAGGCTGGAATTTAATTTGCTGCAGCCTATAGTCGACTCTCTATCATAGAGTCGACTCTAATTCAAAAGTAATCACAAGAAAACAAGAGAAATTGGAAAAAAAATTGAAGAACATAAGTAAGATAATTATATTATGGTTCTTGGATGGATCGTAATTTTTGAACAACAGCATCCCAATACTTTTTTTCAAATGTAAGACGCCCTCCAGAAGGAAAAATGTGTGTAATAGTTTCAGAGGACCCAGTAGTTTCAGAGGACCCAGCAAGGGTTTTGGGTGGATTTGATAAAGATGATGATCGATAACGATTCGAGCAAATTTTTGCAATATGACCCTCACGGTTACACAGTTGACAAGTTACAGCATATCGGTGTGGGCA